GGTTTGTTTATTGTTATAGTTTATTGTTATATTCTTTTTACTTATGGTTGCTCTCAAAAGGGCCGTTTGTTTATGAATATTTTCGGGGTTTTTGATGACGTCATCGTCCATACGAGGCGTACGTAAAACAGAGGGTTCGTATAACTGGGGTACGTAAAAACGAGGTTCTACTGTATAGCGCTATTTACCTAAATAGTCTTAAAGCACTTGAGGTGTGGACTAGCTCTTACAGTAACTTTCTTCTCCCCTACAGGTCTCTTCATGTGTGAGCTACTCGGTAAACCAGTACTGGCTACTCTTGTCTGTCCACAACAGGATGGACCAGTACACCGGGATAACTGGTACTGGTCTTGGAAAATGTACTGGGTTCTTCAAAGTGCACTTAAGCCAAATTGTATACAATGGGCCTACGGTTTATAGTACTTATCAGAGAAGACTTGTTCCACCATCAGAACCATAGGCTAGCATGCTGTTCAAACCAGCACCGATATTATGGCATTGCGGTGATCATCAAATATCTTTAAAATATATTTAAATATACTACTCTAAATGCTCTCACCTTGTTAAGTTCCTGATCGCGCTCAAACTTGTATCCCGGGGCCTCATCTTTATGCTCCCCTTCATCCTCATCTTCTGTTCCCCCTCCCATTGCCACCAGCATTTCTTCCTCTGCACTTGATTCCTCAACCAAGTACTCGGTAATATTCTCAAGAAATGGGTTCTGTTGGTAGCCATGGAACGGTACAAACGGTAGCTGTCAGGGAAAACAATATTTAGTAATACAAAGGACAAAAAAGTATGGTTACAATTTTATCAAAATACTTTTGATTGTTTATTTTACATACAGTACATCTTTTACATACACTGTACAATTTTAACAATCATTCAGTATACTTCACTAACCTTCTCTACTTCAAAGGATTTTTCTTCTGGTGCCTTTTCTTTCTCCTCTTTTTCTTCTCCTTGCTCAGCTTTCTTTTCTTCCTCTTCTTTCTTTGCTACTTCTTGTTCCTTGACCTCTTCCACTATCTTTTCTGGTTCTGGCTCCGGTTCTTCATACAACTTATAGCGGTCGTCTAACATCTTAATAAGCTTTGCAGCCAGCTTGAGATCATTACGTACAATTTGCTTGTGTGAAGTTATGCCGCTGGTTGCTCTGATACGACGAGTGAGATCTCGATTAACAACAGGACTCAACTCACAATCACGCACCTTCAAAATGGTAAAAAGGGAACAATACGATGATGATTCCTTCAACAGAGCTGAAAACTAACCCTTAATATTTGGTTATGCTTAAAATCTTTTTCTGGGCATAGTAAATACAGTCAAAATCGCCTAAGTCATGTGCCCAAGTCGAAAAAATGTCAAAGTCAATATTATTTTCATGTCACTTCATCTTCCCTATATTTACAATGGTTAATATTTGCTCTAACTCAAATAAATTTAAGTCGAATAAAACGAAAGTCGAACATATTTTACATGCCAAATTGATCTGTTTTCCATTGATTGTTAGTCTGTAAGTCGAAGTCAAAATCTTGACGTCAAACTTTAATCAGTTTAAGCTGTTGCCGCATTACAAACATCGCTGTGAACATCAACAAGTAACTCATGCAGAAATTCTCATGCTAAGCAAGTCCGACAAGTGACTCGTGTTTACATTGCATAGCGGTACTTTGTGTAGTTTATTTTAAGTGCGACTCAACTTATATTCCTCAATGTTGTTCAGACATGTGGTAAAGTCGACAAGCGACTAATGTTTAAGCACTGTTTCAGGTTTTGTTAGTTCTTTTTTAAATACAGTAAATTAAATTGTATTGCAAGATACATACAGCAATTGTAAAATAAATGTCTTATGGAATTTAGGTATAGGGAATAACCCGTCATAAAAAACAAATATGCTAGTTTTAATTTTATAACTGATCTTTGTATCTTTATCCCGATCCTCGTTGCATGCAAACTATCTGCAGAGCACTGCCTGCTCTCGCGGTGCAGCGAGAAGCAAGCATGTGCATGAGTAGTGGGCAATTTTGCGGCGGGGTATGCACATCTGGTTTACTTACGATTAATACACGTGTTGAAAAATTATATATAGACTTTCACCTAGTAAGTTTTGGTTTGATCATGGGATTTTCCAACGAAATTTATTGAATTTAAAACGTGTTCACTTGATGGCCATGCAAAAATCAGATATTAAATGTTAGTTTATCAAATATAAATATGATTAAGCTTTATTTTAAGTATTGACTGATTCCTCTTTATACTGTATTCAAAAGAATGGCATAGAAGCAGTTAACGAAACATTTAAATATACTGTAATAATTGAAAAATTAATGCAATGTATGGCTACTCTGAAGCTTCCAAGGTAAGTTTAGGTAGCCTAGGCATTTACTTCTACAGTACTAGGCCAAATGTGCGGTCAACATCGTGCATGTACCGTCAGTGCGTGTTAATTTGTTCTGGTCTCCATAAGGCCTAACTCTGCAAGTCAAGTTGCTATTTTGATATAACGCAAATAAAATTCGACTTTGCTTTAGTCGAATTTAATATAAGTCTATAAATACTATATTTCAGTGGCACTTTAGTTTCGACTTAGGTGAGTTTGACTGTACTTAATATATTTTGTTAGAATTTAACATGACCCTAAAAAGTCAGTACATTCTTTTGAATGGAAAGCACTAAATCAATTGCAATATTTTTTGGATAACTTACTCGGATGCTGCTAAGATTCCAGCAAATATCCTTGATATTGACGGACCGGTCAAAGGTGACCCAACCATAACGCATGAAGTTCTTGTCTGGTTGTGGGTCTGCTAGAGCAACTCGCATGAATCCTTGATACTTCTTGCAAAGCTATAATTATAAAATAAAATTTATATACAATCTATATATAACAACTGTTTATGAAAAAATACTAATAAGGGTTCCTTCCTTCGAATGTATTTCACTTGAGACATTTTTACAATTGAGTAATGTAAACAACACATTGGTCCAATCATATTCCTTCATATTAGCTATTAACAGTGGTGAGTCGATTAGCAGAGCGGTGAGGCAGGGGCGCAGCTAGCTACAGCCTTTAACATCAGCGATGGTGCCAAATGCTGAATTAATAATTGGTATAAAAATAGCATAAGTGCAATCTGTAAGTTTAGTTGGTGTAGCAGATACAGAGTCAGGATTTTGAATTAATCATCATGCTTTTCACAAGTGTCATTGGGCAAGACATTTTACCTACGTTTGTTTCTCTCTCTAACCAGGAGTATTCATGGGTCTCTATTTACTGGCAACATTAACAAAGATATATATTCCTTATAGTGTTAGTGTGTTAAGATTGCACCCAATGTTGCAAGTCTTTTTTTCATTTAACCATCACTAGTATTATACAAATCAAAAACATCATTAGCAATATATAAATCAAAACCATCCTTAGTATTATATAAATCAAAAACATCATTATCATCATTACCTGTACAATCTCAGCCTTTGGGATCATTACTGACAAGCTTCTCATAAACAATGAGTAAGTCTTGTGAAGTGGGCGTGGTTTTGGCCCTTCTTCCTCTACTTTATCTTCTGTAACCTTTTTCTTACTAGCTTCTTCTTTGCCAACCTTAGTTGAATGTCTGTCTTCCGTTATCTCACCTGCTTCTAGAAAAATATATTGCAGAAACCAATCCTTGAGTTATTAAATGTTGATAACGTATGGGGTTCTTTTAAATGCGCAAAAGAATGTTAATTTATTTTTGAGACCTTTTTCTTTATTTTTTTTGGGGTAGTAGTATATGCTATACTATCTTTAATTTATCCATAGTTTTCTTAATTTTATAGAGGATAAGCAGATATACCCGGTGTATCTCAATATTTAGATTAGTTAGAAAGGGTGCAACATTGCTGTACCATGTTCAGATGACATTAATTTCTGTCCTCCGGGGGAACATGAGAAAGGAGATAAGATTATAAGATTTTACATAATAAATATAAAACTTCTCCTGACTTATTTTTCTCCTGACCTCCAATAAAATACCCTTAGGGGTCATTTCATGAAAGTTTTTTTTATTAAATATAAAGAACCAAAGTTGGAAATCAGTTTTTCAGTAATCAAGTGACCTCCGAGTGGAATAAATTACAGGAGAGTGTTATTTTAGCACCCAGTGTGGATTCCTGTAAAGAACGATTCAGGACCCCATCCAAGGAACAGAGGGCCGAACTACCAAGTATCCAAGTAAGTATTTGAACTTGAAAGTGGCACTACGGTGGCCATCGAAACATCATTTTTAAACCACTATTTTAAGTATGCCTATAGTTAAGTATATTCTTTTTTTATCTGTTCATTTAGAAATAAAAAATATTTTGCATTACCTTCATCTTTCTCTTCCTTACTTTCTGGTGGTTTGCTGGACTTCTCTTGTTTGTCTTTGATTTTAGGAGAGCGATCCCTATCCGAGTCTGAATCACTTTCGCTACTACTGCCACTACTACTCGAACTAGACGAGTACTCCCTTTCACGTTTACGCTTTTTTCCACGTTTCTCACCTTCCTCCTGAGGAAAAATCAAGTTGGTTAATATTTATTGATAATTTTTTTTTTAATTATAAAATATATTTCTTCTATAATTACTCTCAAATATATTCATCAGCATTGGAGTTGTTTCGCGCGGCTGGTGACAACAATAACGATTAATATGACAACTACAAAATTTAAATGCACCAAATTAAGAACTGATAAAATGGTGCAGTCTTAAATTTTGTAATAAAAAAAGGTTGTTTTTTAAAATAGCAGCTTAATCAAACAAGAGAAATAAATGTCACAAAATTTAAATGCACCAAATTAAGAACTGATAAAATGGTGCAGTCTTAAATTTTGTAATAAAAAAAGGTTGTTTTTTTAAAATAGCAGCTTAATCAAACAAGAGAAATAATGTCATACCATATCTTCAGGCTTCTTTTCTTCAATTTCTTCAATTCCATCAGCCTTCTCTTCACCCTAAAATAAAAAGATAAACGACAAAATATAATAACCGCCAGTTAGCATTTGTCTCCCAATTCCTACCTAAAATCATATTTTTGATAAGCCCACAAAATTTAAAAATTTATCCTTCTATAAAGGCGTGTCGGAAGACCAAACCAACCTTTTGTCTTCAATCAGAAATGATTTAAGTTCTAGAAATTGTTAGTTAACAGATTCCAAAGATTTAAATGTTTTAAGAGATATTACAAAATATAGACACAACTGGTATCATCTGTTTTAATTTTGTTTTGCTATGTATACTATTATGTTCATAATTTGAACAGAAACTCTACAGTAAATTATATTCAGTTGAACTATAGTTTTTGAATAAAAGTTTATATCCAGTTGAACTTGCCTAAGTCGAATAGAGAATGCCATTGAAAATTTGTTCGACTTGGATAAAATTTGACTTACAGATTGTTAATTAATGAAAAACACAACAGTTTGGCATGTAAAATAAGTTCGACTTGGAAATTATTTGAGTTAGGCAAGGTTGACTTAGGCAGGTTTAACTGTATATACTTCTATGCCTTGTCAAAATTAGATTTTCGTCCTCTTAATTAATTGCAATGTAGCATACACAAATCAGCAATGATGTTTGAAGTGACAACCACAAATTAATGACTTATTCTCAGCTATTTCTATCTTCAAGAGTGTTTATCATTGAAACTGTGATAGAGAAATGAGGATGCACATGGTTTTTAGCAGAGATAAGGACGGTTCTATTATTTTCTACGGATGTTCTAGGACAGTGGCAACAGTCGGTCCTTTCGGGTATTAAAAAAATTAGGACTGTCACTCATCTATAAATGCATTCATCAACAGCTATACTGTAAACAGCATTGTACACATGGAATAATATATGCAAGATGCTACTGTATATACAATAAGAAACTTTTGAGGATCATAAAAAATAAATATGTTTATTATAATGATGTTATCATACCTTTGTTTCACTTTTCTTGTCTTCCTCAGGTTTTTCATCTGAATCATCATCCATCTCCCCATCTTCTTTTCCATTCTTTTTTCTATTGAATAAAATAAAACATCAATATTATCATATTACACAAACTATTTTAAACATTACAAAAAAAATTATTAAATAAACTTAAGAAACCTTTTTATCATTAATGATAAACAATTTATTGACACTGATATTTTATTAAAATAAAATATTCCAATTTTCATTTAATTTGGCATTACTCTGTGACAATACTTACTCTTTGTCTTTTTCTTTCTTCATCTCGTCATCTTTTACTATTTCTGCAGCTCTTTTATCACGGCTGTGGTCCATCTCTTCTTCACTGTCTTCCTCCTTCTGATCTAGGATGGTCATATCCAAATCTGTTCCTCCTTCCATCTTAATTACAGCTGAAGAAAAATAAAACATTAAAATAATTGGTTAATAGGCATGTACTTATATGGCAATTAGGCCTATGAATTCCACTCTCCAAGCCTCATTATAAATCAAGGTTTTGAAAATTATCACATTCATATTTACACCCTGAAAGTACTGTATGAACATTTTAGAGCACATAGAAAAAATTATTAGATTATCATTCTTTAAAAAAAAAAAGCGATGAGGGCGGGCATGTTTTTTTTGTTTTTTTTAATCGGAACAATATGATATTGCTTTTTCTTTATTGATGAAGGAGGGACTGTTTTTATTTGGCAAGAATATTGTAAATATTATATAAAAACTGGTTTAATTTTAATGTTTTTTTTTAAGAAAATGTATTTCCAGTCACAAAATTGTATTGTTTTTTATGCTGTTGAAATAAATGATGCTGCAAAAAAAAATTTTTTTTTTTATTCCTGCAACAATATTTCCAAACTTTTTGACATGGACAGGAGTGATAGTCTAACAATTTTTCTATGTGCCCTTAGAGGAGTGTTCTCACTTTTTTTACACTAACATAGAAATACAACATAAAGCAAACAGAATTCATAATACTTTGGGTTAAACCTTAACAGCAAATCTGGAAACTCTCGTTCTGTATATAATGTCTGTACTCATATTGATGAAATGGTAATGGTGACTGGTCTATAAAATGTGACAAAGACTATATCTTATCATAAAGACAACTCACCAGCATCTAGTATTCGAATAATATCATCAGATTTGTTAAACTCGCAGGCAGCTGTATCAATCCATTTTTCTCTCCACAAATCAAGAAAGGCGTTTAAACGTAAACGTACGCCATTTACTCGTGCCGCCTGTTGCTGCATACAAAGATCTGGATGGTATTTAGTGCGAAACCTTTAGAAAATCAAAGAACATGTATGAACAGTGTGCACAAAAAATGTTGATTAGGATTCAAATAAAATTCTTAAGTAGGGCTAAATTTGACCATTTTCTGATAATATTCTCCCAAATATGAAAAGATGCCTTGTACTACTAAGTTGAGAAAGAGAATAAAACTTCACATTTTCTGAGTGTTTTTGATAAAAATGAGAAAAAGATCTCATCTTAATAATCACAATCTAACCATTTAATAACTGAATATTTAATTTCCATAAATCTGATAAATTTCCCAACTTTGTACAGTATATTTTGAAATCAAATTTGAAATGGTAGGAAAAAAAAAAGAAAAAAAAATCTAGGTTTCCCGTAACTAATTTGTAAGTTTCTTTGCCCTTTCAGCCCTTTACAGGCTAAAATAATCACCTCTTACCTGAACAAAACAAAAAAATAGAGAAGCCACAATAAATTACCCATATTCCTTGGTTGCGATCCTTAAGATACGGACGGCCCATCTTATGAATATTCATATTAGGAGGTACATAATTAAGCTCAATAAACAGAGCATACAACGCGAGATGTATCTAAAAGTGTGTCAAATCATGTGTTTTATACATGCGACAAATCTGGTTCAGTAAACAAAACCCGCGCGTTGGCTGACAGCTGTGTTCCTGATTCAAAATCTTAAGCTCAATAAACAGAGCATACGTGAGCGATCAAATTTTCTCTTGTCATCCATATTGCCTAACTAGAACATCTGTGAGAAAGCAAGTGTATCAAAACGTAAACATCGCGTGTACTTTATATGTGTGTGTGCACGCATACGTCCCCCTGAATTAAGTGGGGATTGCCTCGGCTGCACTACACTGTAAATGGAAGCAATATATGAATGTGAATCACACAACACAAAACAAGACACACAATTAATATATGTATTACAATAATAAGAAAAATATTGGTCTGACAAGTGATATTTTCAATGTAATCCTTGTTTTCTTAGCATTTCTTCCAGAATTATATACAGCAGTAAAGTTCCATCCCAATCTATTAAACCGCAAGCAAATATTTTGACAAATGAATGAACATTTGTCAACAGCTTTTAAGAATAACTAATTTCAACTTGGCTGAACAGATACAAAATTTAGTATTTTGTCTCTTAAATTTAACAAACTTCTTTTGTTATTTCATTAAAAAAAATCATGGTCATATTTGGCATGTTCTTAAGAAATTTTAAAAGTGCAAGCTCAATTAAAATTTTAAAAACATCATTAAAATAAGATAGTATAATACATACTCCAAGTATCGAAATGCACACCATTGTGTCGGGAATCCTGACATGATGGCGTGCAATTCGATACTTGGAGTATGTATTATACTATCTTATCTGAGATTAATCAGTGGACCTTTCATTGAAATAAGTTAACTATTGAGATATTAAAATAGTCTTTTGAGAAATGTCTATCAAAAAATACATTAAGCCTTTTAAAATTATATTTATAGCTGTCAAAAAAGTGTATCAAAATTAAATATTTGTTTAACTGTTAATTAATATATTTAATTATAGTTAAATGGCTGTACAAGCATTACTAATTGGAAACAGACAGTATATCTAAATCCCTAGTATCCTTTCCGACAAAAATTTCAAACATTAAGTTTAAACTTACCACTCCTGATCTTTGTGAGCCAAAAAATATTCACTAAGCTGTGTGCGACGAAAGTCCACTTTATACTCGTTGTATTTTCGCACAGCTTCCTGGTCATCGATCGTATCATCTTGTGAAGCTAGGAACTGTTTGAATGTCATCATAGAACTGCCGCCATCAGTCCTATTTTTTTGTAAATGTTTGACATAATTTGAATATGTTTGATATTATTTTGTATTTGTATTATAAATGGGCCTAAAGATAGAGTAACAAGTATTAGAATGAATATTTTCCTCTCCAATTAACTTAAAAGATTCACAAAGTCTAATGTCACTATTCATTTAGTTTGTTATATTTTACCTATCTGACTGGCTATGCCCATAGTTCTGCCCATCTCCACTGCGATCCCAATAACCTCCACCTCCACCTTGGTAATTTCCACCGTAGTTGCTGAATGACCTATAACCCCCAGTATTCCTAACAAAACAAAACAAAAATAACATAAAAATGTGGTGGTATATCGATCGGAACTTATACTATCCCAATTAAGTGAATACAGTACTAAGCATATTTGATTATCATTCTATCTCTTATTTGAAAAAAATATTTAACTCTTGTAAGAAGAGTGTTTTATGTTGTAATCCCAACGTTATGGTTGGTTACTACCGACAATCTATGACAATTCAATTGCATGTTATGAAATTAACAAGTTCTATGTTCCCCTTTTGTTCCAACTCTTATTTCAACTATCAACACAAGTGAACATTTTAAACATAATGAAAAGACATTCATACGAGTAACATTAAAATAATTCTAACCCAATTACCTATATATAAGGCCTTACTGTAGTTAATTCTGTTGATTTTTTTAAATAGGATTCATTATAATGGACTTAAATTATTATTATTAATTATTATTATTATAATAATGATTTTGACTTTCCATCTATAAATAGGTAATAAAAATAATAAATACTATAGTATAAATACAACTTTTATATACTTTTACAGATTATTTATATAAGATCAAAACAAGCAGATGTGTTGAAAATAACTCTCCAATAAATTTCCATGTAATTAATATTTAAAAGTTATTATTTTATCTCACATAACAAAAAAAACTCTAAGCATGGTAAGTTTAAAGAGTAGCTACTTACCAGTCTCTTCTAGGCCGCTTATTGGGTGGGCTCATCGCTCTTCTGGCAGGACTGTAGCCTCGCTCCCGCCTATTTCTATTGTAATCTCTACGCTGCCAATCTCTGTTGACACGATTATCCCTTGGTCTTCTAAAAAAATATATACATATTTTAAGTTTTTTTTCATTTTCGTAGATTTACAGGGTATATAATAAGTTGGGCTATAAGAACTCCAAAAAATACATAGGCCCTCATTAGCAAGGTATTAACCATCTATTTAAAATCAGGCTTAGGCCTAGGGCCTTGGCCTCATTTTCTAATTGTTTTTATTGTAGCGTTTTAATATTAGATTTTCTTTTGGGGGAGGGGGGATAGCTTTTTCGTATTTCAATGATTAAGGTTTTTACTTTTAGTTGAATTTTAGAATGTACTACTGTAATGAATTACTATTTCAGTGAATGCTGTCTACATTGAATAGTGATACAAGAAAATTAATAGGCTGATGCCAATCATTATGGGAGTTTTACCTATCATTCCAATCATCTCTGCCACCTCTCCGGTCTTCACGGTCCCGCCGTTCTGCATAATTATCACTACGTTCCCGCCGAAATTTGTCTCTGTTATGACGCCGGTCTTCATCATCGCTATCCATCATTGAAACCTGTTATATTTTTAAAAAATATAAATATTATAATTGAATGGTTCTACGTAACCTGTGTGCATAACTGTGAAACAGAGACCCATAAATCAAATTCCATAGCTGTTTTACACTATTCCCAGACTGGAAAGTAAGGCCTGCGCGATTTCCCGCACGAAAAATTAGGCCTAGAAATCCTTTGCATCCGCACATTTCGAAAAATAAGGACTGATTTCCATGTAGATGTTTGATAGTTCGAGCGAAAGAAAGATTCACTTGTGCAAACAACAGCCTGTGCAAGTCATGTACGAATTACTTTAAAATTTCCTATTTTGAGCTAACAATTTGCATTCGACCGAGGCTCAAAATTTGCCTGGGAGCCAGCCACTGGCGTATCTAGAGGGTGCAGCTAAGAAAAAGAAAACAAACGAAGTACTATATTTCATAAATCTCCATTTTAATAATATAATACTAGGCCCAGGCTTATATATAAATAAATTAAAATAACCGAGTCTGAGCTATGTGGCCTTTCTCTAGGCCTAAGAAACAGTCGCGATGCGTTCAGTTCAAGTTTCCCCCAACGAGGGCGCTAACGGCATACGCCACCCATCGTCGTTAGAATGGCATATGACCGGTTGAGCCGCCGGTCATTTCTATGAAACGCCAAGCGCGTCTCTCAGTGAATGTAGTGCGTTAATTGCGGCGTATTTCAATTAACTTATTCGTTATTTGTACTATTTTGTTAAATTATTAAATTAAATTATTTATTATACTGTATGTAAGTATAACAAATAGTACAAAAATAAAAATATATAAATTACAAAACCATAGTAAATACTGTATAACAACATAGGCCTAACACATTTAAATTTATTGTTTATAGTCATCAGTCTATTTAAAATCAAATTGGTTTTACTAATTTTACTTATTACTGTTTTATTAATGCTCTATTAATTATTTTTGTTTTATCTTCCATGGTTAATTTGCTGAGTATTTGATCAGTCGGCTTGCTGATGTCATCAGTGAATAAACCCCCTGGATACCAGCTAAATATTCATCCCACAGTCTTGTAGGTCGTTGATTTGCTCGTATTGCTGTTCGTTATGTATAAGTTGTGTAATTGAAAATTAGAATTTTGATTATTTTATGTACTACATTTTTATAAAAATAAATGAAATAAATGAAGTTGTATAATTGCAAAATCGTATTAAAAATGTAATAACTTGAGTATTAAATAAATTGAAATAATTGAGTAAATAAACTGAAATACATCCCAAACAACAGTACCAAGAACGAGTAAATAAATTGAAATAAGCCCAAAAATACTTAATAAAACAATAAAACGAGTAAATTAATTGGAATACTCCCCAAAAATATTTAACAAAATAGTACAAATAACGAATAAGTTAATTGAAATACGCCGCAATTAACGCACTACAATCACTGAGATGCGCGCGCTTGGCGTTTCATAGAAATGACCGGCAGCTCAACTTGTCGGCGGCTCAACCGGTCATAATCCGTTAGAATAGGCCAGCCTAGGTCTAGGGCTATTTATTTTCACGACTCGTCGTAAAAATAGCCACAGCGTCAAAATTATGTGCACGACGAGTAAGCCAAAATTTGAGTACGAGTTGTGGGTACGAGTTAGCCTGTATTCCTTAGATCCTCTAGTAACTAGGCCTAGCCTAGGCCTATGTCTAAAAAGAATCCGGCTAGGCCTAGCCTAGACTGATGGCGGATGTATCACCGGTTCAATCCGGCTAGCCTAGGCCTACTAGGCAGGCTAGCCTGAATGCAGTGATGGTTGATGTATGGTGTGGCAACGTTTTTTGTCCACATTTATCATCTTTCATCTACATATACTACAAATTATTAGCATACAGTAATCATACTATCAATCATAATACAAACATAGTTAAAAACATTACCTCTGTGTATTATTTTCGACCTTTTTAATAATATATTGAATGCTCCTGACCTGTTGAAAAATCTTCAGAGCCCGCGTGGGTCGTTAATCCAGGTTTATACCATTTGCAATATTTTGCCACATTTGATAAATTTTAGTACATATTAGTGTTGTTAATTACATTATACTAACGATATAGCCAGAAAAATATATCACATATTGAATAATTATTTGAATTGTAAATGGAAACGATTATGTTGTTAATGATAAGTAGATACAGGTTCTGTTTAGAAATATTTCCCTTCAAAATTATTGGACTAGGCCTATCCAAAATGGCGGCTGTCTCTGAATTTTCAAGCCGCTCAGCTTTGTTATTTTGTCATCCTTCTATGGAAAGTTTGGCTCAGGCAATTGAACAAACGTGTGACACAGAATCTACCAAAGCTGCTTTAACACCTAGAGATGCAAACTTACCGATCAAAACTGAAGTAATTGTGGCTTATTATTTGTGATCTCAAATGCGAGGCTGCACCATCAAAACGGATCAGTCATTGAGAGGTCACCACAGTGTCAAGGGTGACTGCATTCAACCAAAATGTAAACAACAGCCAGCCTAACTGAAACTGAAACCACTGAAACTAGGCCTAGGGCCTCCTATGTTAAAGCTAGGATAGGCCCACTACTTAAATCCTAATCAATCAGTATGTTGTGTTTAAAATTGTCAGGCCTATGCTACACACTTGTGATACTTAGCATCAGTTCCTATTTATTAACATAAATGAAGAATTAATAATGCATCCATAAGCCTATTTTAATACACTACTAAGATAGGCTTTTCTTTTTCCATCTTGATTTCAGAGGTCAAAAACATTTTTCAATTTTTTTTCAATCATATAGTTGTATAGACTAGTCTTTTAAGAACATTTTGCTGGAAAAATTTGTTGGATACCACGTCCCGTTTAAATTTTTTAAATAACATGATGTCAGAAAATCAGCCCAAAAGCTTATCTTATTTCTGTTGGTTACGCACCGCTGATTTGCAATGTTTTTCATCACTTCAATATGTCTACCGATTCGTGAAAAAGGCCTATTTATGGCCTTATCAAAAATACACAGATGAGTCTTGAGTGCGAGGTTGGTTTTAGTCGGACCTAAGAAATATTTAGCTCAGAGTTGAATCCGCATCAGCATTGGCAAATGGTTCCAGGGAATAATAGTAGAAGTGCTGTCATGATTTCTCGATGAGTTGCCTTTTAAAATATCAAGGTTTTACCAAAATTAGGTAGCAAAGTTGATGTGCAAATATGAAGTAAATTTATAGATTAAACCTATTTAAATTTTACAATAATTGACAACTATTATTACTATAATTTATATTTTGTGCCTCTTTACGGCTGATAGGTAGTCATGGACCACACCCATATGCAATTCAGCACAATAACACTGCAAGTTATGAGTAATTCTCCTACCTTTACCTTTATTTTTCATACTCATACTGTTTTATTTAACAATTATTTATTTCAGGTCTCCCCACAATCCAAGAAATGCTTCCAAACAGTTGAATTCCGAAAGACAATACAATGGGAATCATTCAATGATGGATGGCCAAATCTTTTTATTGAAAATGTGAAGGAGTGTGCTGGCAGAGATGGTAATGAGTAAATCAATCATTTTATGTAGAGAATATATAGATTGCAATGTAATTATTGTAGTGATAATTGTAACCCTATTTTTCACTATTGTTTTTAATTTCAGTTATCTTTTTGGGAAGTTTCCATTCACCAGAAGTAATATTTGAACAAGTCAGTATGCTCTATACAATGCCCAGGTACAGCTATAATACACTTTAAACACACAAGGATTATTTTCTTACTACCTAAAACAACGCCATTCCCTAAGCCCCATAATGATTGGTTTATAGAATCACTCAATATTGGTTGAGAAAATAAACCTTTCGTTTTAGCTTGCTTATCATGGGATCTGCTGCTGTACTACTCATGTAGGGTTGGTTATTAATTATGCATGTTTCACTAAACAGATTTCTTGAAAACATTTTAATGTACCTACACTAGAAATCTGTCGTATACTATTGCATCTCTTCTCAAACTAGAGCAGGCACTTGAGAGTACATAGTTTACCTGTGTGGTTTTTTTTTTTTTTTTTACTTTCCATGACCATGACTTTTACCTAACTTTTCACCGCAAAATTTCTTTACCTCTTTTTTAATTACTATCCTGCTAATCATATAAGCAGAGAAATGGACAGGCAACCTCTGTGGGAGAGGTAATTAATTAGTAGATCCTCTAGTTTATATATGGATGGATGTATTTGGTATAAACACCAAGGATATCTCACGAAAGTCTGAAGAAGACTTATTTCCAGTAGGGTCTATCTGGTGGTAATTGGGCAGTACAGCGGGAGACAATCCCCTACTCTTTTCCAAAGAGTGCACTGCCTTCTTTAACGTGCACATGGGCCATAATGCACAAGGGACCAACGGCTTAAACGTCTCATCCGAAAGATGGTGCGCTATCGTAAATTTCAGCCCTCTTGCTGAAATACAAGGACAGCAGCGATAGGAATTGAACCGTTGACCAAGAGATCTCCACGGTTCAGCGCACACACATTGGCTACCACCTGTTTAGCTGACTGAGTTAAGCTGCTCTCTCATTTAACTGTCATCTTTCTTTTTGTTTTTTTTTTAGGTATTTGGCAAGATCTTTCAAATTCATCCTCCCTTATTTTCCAACTGGAACAATGGAGCGTGTGGACACTGAAGGACAAGTGGTTACAGCTAAGGTAAATTAAAAATCCAAATTTAATACGATTTATCTTGCAATGACTTTCTTGCTTAAGTTGAGTTGTAATTTCAAAACCAGTTGAATTATGCACCCATATGTGAATTTAACCACAATGGCACCAGAGCATGGTTATTTGCTTACACTTAAGCACCACACCAAATCCCTATCCCTATCAATATGGACTCTTAAGAATTTGATTGTTAATTAAATTTTTCCGCTCATCTTTTTTAGACACTTGCCATGTTGCTCTCTCTGATTCCAAGCACAGCTCGAGGTCCTGCTCAGATTGTTATGTATGACATACATTGCTTGCAAGAAAGATTTTATTTTTCGGACAACATAATACCAAGGTAGAATCATGAAAGTATGTTAGTATAATTGTTAACAGAGATTTTGTGACCTCTTCACCCATATTATCATGTGTATGTTACATTTATAGTGAATTTGACACCATGAAGGCAGAAATTGAACTAGAGCCCCCTTCCCTGGGGATGAAACCATACCGACATAACTACCGTCAAAATGTGTTATTGTATGATCATAAAGACTTTTCTTTTGTAGGTTAGAGACTGCAATACCATTGTTGCACAGAGAAATGTCCAGACTTGCAAATGAATTTGATTTCAAAATCTGCATTGCTTTCCCGGATGAAGGGGCTTGTAAGCGATTCCAGTTGCTGTTCTCTGATTTTCCACTTATTACATGTACAAAGATTCGAAATGGAGACAAACGCATTGTGCAGGTGAAGGAAGGTAAGGCTGGTGGTAATAATATTCTTTATTAATTATTTATGTTGCATACTAATGTTGGTACTGTTATTTTATTTAATGTATTTATTTAGTCCGGAAAGGAAAATGTTTTCAAAGGAAAACCATTTATAGTATATTTTCTTAATATTGTAGTACATGTATATACTTATTATATAAAATATATTATTCTTATTCTCTTATTATATGTGGCAAAGCCAAACCAGTCACTCGTCACAAAAATTGATTTTGAGTTATTAATACAGTGTTAAAGAATAAAATAAGAGCTATAAAATGGTAAAAAAAAATCATTCAAATCTGACATTTCTTTATGAAGTTGCAAGCGTTTAACATACAGCTGTTTAAAGAACAATATATGAGAAATTAGCCTGAAAGTTAATAATTTCGGGCATTTCTCATGCAGAAACTATCATGAAATCCTTAAAAAGTGTTGTTTTAATATTGAAAATGGGGAAAATAACAGCATAGCATGCATAGCATTTTTTTTTGAGGTAAGAGAATTTATGATTATAGCATCTCGGGATGGCCGGAAATGACTTAATTTTGAAAAGAATTTTCTTTTTTTAGCCAATTGGCTTGGCCCCCCTCCCCCCTCCTTGAATCCACCACTGATTTTAGAATAGATAAATATAAAATTTGCATTGTTTTGACCATCAGGTGATCCTGGAGGGAAGCATGTGATCATTGTTGATGATCTGGTGCAGACTGGAGGAACATTAAAGAATTGTGCCGAGGTAAACATGTGTAGATAACAACAAATTCAACTGCTGTTATCAAATTTATTATTTAAACCTTTTGTATTAATTTCATATCTGATCTTGCGTCATACTTTCATTGTATACTTCCACCAGTTTAGGTTACTTGGAGCTGTATCATAGAGCCACTAGTCATCAGCTCAAATCCTGCAAGTCCCAGGATTTTTTTCTAACAGCCAAACTCAACCATATAAAATTTCCTAATGAGACTGTGTATAGAGCATAATTTATTTAATCGTGTAGTCAAACTTACTTGCTGATTCAAATAAAAAGAAAATTCTAATGTTAATTAAATTTTTTTTATCTTTTGTGACAGGCCCTATTGAATAAAGGAGCAAAGACTGTATCAGCATTCGTAACTCATGCTGTTTTCCCGAAGGACTCATGGAAATCTTTCACTACATCCAAAAGCAAAGTTCCTTTTAAATATTTCTGGATTACGGACTCAATCCCTCATGCAGTTGAGATTGCAAAGCACGCTCCATTCAAACTACTCTCGCTCTGTGATTCCATTTCCCATTGTTTGTTGGGGTTTGATTTGCTCCAGTCATGATGTTCATTTGGCCAAAAATGCATTTCCTTTATATTAACCAAAATTTGTAAATCAATGAGAGAGTTTTGCTCAGTCAGCCAAACAGGTGGTAGCCGCTGTGTATTTGCTGAATTGTGGAAATCTTCACTTTAGACTTGGTCCCTGGTTCAGTTTGATCAAGTGCTGTGTTTCAGCTGGAGGGCTAAAATGCAAGTTTCAATAGCGCACCGTTTTTCAGATGAGACGTTTAAGCCATTGTTCATCTGTGCTATATGGTCCATGTGCACGTTAAAGAATGCAGTATACTCTTTGATAAGAGTAGGAGATCCCAGTGTACTGCCTAATTCATCATTGGAAATGAGTATTCAGACTTATCCTTTGTGTATTTCACACCGAATAAATCCAATCCAGTCCAATCTAAAATTTGGTTTCTATAAAAAGTTTTAAATTTGTAATTGCTTATTTATGTTAAAAATTTGTTTTAAATTGGTATTGCTTTAAGTATACTGGATGCATATGTTATACATCCTTTTGAAACTGGTATAATTTTAGTAATAAAGTAGAGTTGAATAGCTTGGTGGTTAAGATGCTTGCCTTCCAATCTCAGGGTCCTGGGTTCAATTCCTGCCAGTTGCAGGAATTTTTCTCACGACATAAACAACTCCACTCCCTAAATTTCATATTGAGATTTAGTTTGTGTAAAGCATCGTGTGTGTATGTTTGTCTCTGTCTCTTATACACATCTATGTCTTGTGTAAGGGATTGTCACCTACAAGTAGGACAGTGATATATATTCGCTATTGGCAGTCCTTGGCACATGTGTTGTGTGCCTAAAGAAAGAATAATAATAATAATAATAAAAATATTGTTAATTTATATTAAACTCATATAATATTTCTCAAGTTCAATTATTTTGTTGGTGATTTTATTAATAATGAGCATATGGGATCATAGGTGCACCTTTCATTATAATATTTTTCTTAATTTTTAAGTGTAGTGCAGCATTTTATGTACAACTTTATTTTATTCATTTTTTTTTACTATTTATGTGAACTTGTGTAGTAATCACAACATTCACATAAATCTGGTTTATATATATTTCAATAGATGTGAACTCCCAATGATTTAAATTGGATATATGAATGTCTGTCTAAAACATATTTATCATAATCATTACCAAGTTTTCAATATCAATGTATTCTGTATTAATTTACCTGGAAATGTAGTTCTATGCATACATATACTGTACATAGGGACCAAAAATACATGCCATTACTTTAAAATACCCGAGTACAAATTTGATTGCTAAAGTAATGTGAAAACTGTAATTGTAAATTTTCAATGTATTTATAATTTTAAGGCACACAAAGAAGATTGTACTAATTAATAATTTTAAAAATAATGTAATTAATATCTGTGCATAATTTTGATTCAAGATGTTATTTTATGTCCAGCATGTGAGTGAGAGTGGAAAAGTGATTAAGGTTTAGGTAAAAGGGTTCAAATGTCCCCACAGCACTTACAGCAATTGCTGTAGAAAGGGCCTTCCACTACTGTTGTAAATCCCAGGCTCAACAGCAAGCTTTTACTGATGAGTTAATTACCTGATCCAGGCCTAGCAATGGTTTATACACTGTTACATTTATACAATGCCTACGGTATTCTTAAAACAATTTATGAAGCTTGTTACTGTGGAAGAAGAATTAATTGCTGAAGTAAAGCCACAGCCCACAGCAGCTATGCTGAGGGAACATTTTGAGGAAATTCGAACCCTGGGAAAATAGAGAGATAGAATATCTGAAGTCTGTCAAGCTTGAATGTTTGTCTGAAGATGCCTTATATACAATAAATTGCAATATATACGTTTTGATGACATTATTTCAATTATTTTACTCAACAACATTAAACATACTGTGTCTGTGTTGGGATAATAAACATGAATAATAAAATATATTATTTGAATTTGAAGTATTTTTTTGTAAGTGGGTTCGGTTTTTAAAAATAAGAAAAATAAACAAGTATTTTCTTCTCCAATTACCTGATGTATAAATAATTACTGTTTCGTAAATAAAGTTAAGGTCGAAAGGTCGAAACCTGAAGCTCTGGGCTCATTAGCGTTTGGGCCAGACCATAGAGATATAATAGCTCTATGGGCCAGACTGTGCAAGGCTGTGGGGGTGGCGGTGTTTTATCTTCCCAGCCAGAGCCATAGATAGAAAGAGTTGCGACATTGAGAATTTAGAAGCCATTTTGTGTCATACGCGATGCGCGTTCTGTGTCTTACGTGATGTGCATTCCTGTGTATAATATTGTAACGGCCTCCTGTATAGTTTAATTCCATTTAATCTTTCAGTCGAATTTCATGTAACTCTATTTATAGATTTTTTTTAATGATTTCACTACTTTATATTCAATTTCATATTATAAATACTGTAATAATTTACTATTTTTGAGCAGTTCTTTAATCCTCGCCGATAGACCGAGAGAGCCCTTCGATGGCAAGCATTCTTCAATTAGGCAATCCTGCCATATAGACTCTTAAGTAGCTCCTGTTATTTTTGCAAATAAATGATATGTAAGACCAGCAAAAATTAATTAAATATGTATATCAAAATGTAATTAAAATCCGTATATAGGGTATATAGATTGTTGCTCTTTAAATTAGAATATGAGCGAGCCCTATACAAATCTTATGTTATTAATTTGATTATTATTATTTATAAATATTAAAATAGTATAGGTCAGTTGGCCGCAGTATATAAATTGTGCTTTGCTGTAAATGTTATAAAATGTAAGTGTTAAATGGCATACAGGATCTGTGATATATTCAACTTGTGTAATTGTGTAATGTATATTATTGTATTAAAAGTCTCTGTTTTAATATTGTATATGGCTGTACAGATGTTACTTTTATGAACACACTGCAAGAGCGTGTCTGCTGTTTTAAAAGCGTCGATTCCAAAATAAAGTTATAGTAATTATAAAATTGCCATGTCATTTTTGGAGTGACATTCACACTATTTGTACTTAAGTACTGGTACGCATCCTAATGGTTAAATTGCATATTTAACTCTCCATTAGATTTATGTATAATATATATATATATTTTTCATTTAATTTTTAGTTGTAACGTAATAGCTTGCCTATAATATACAAATATTGATTTGGCCTATAATGTATAATTACCAGGCCAGGAGATAGGTCTCGCAATTTAAATATCAGGTTACAGATATGATTCACATCT